CTCTCTCTCTCTCTCTCTCTCTCTCTCTCTCTCTCTCTCTCTCTCTCCCTCCCTCCCTCCCTCTCTCTCTCTCTCTCTCTCTGTGTGTGTATGTGTGTGTGTTTTGGTAAAAACATAGTATCCTTGTTTCATAAAGGTAATCCTCGACTCTCGGTCACAATTGGGACCAGAGAATTTGTTGTTAAGCAGTGATTAAGTGAATCATCATACATGACTGCATCCAATTCTATGATTATTTTTTTTGCCATGGCTGTTAAACTAATCACTGTGATTGTTAAGTGAGGCATCACATGATCATGATTTGCGATCTTCAATATGAATTTTCCCATGGATTTTGCTTGTTGGAAGCCAATGGTGATCACATTACCATAGGACACTGCAAGTATTAGAAGTTACAATAGTTGCCCACCACTTGAAGTTTGGTTATGTGACCATGGGAACACAGTCATAAGTGCATAAGTATTGATGCTTTTGGACTTTGGATTCTGAGAATATCATGGACACCCAGAAAAGAAAAAAAATTAACCATAGAATAAATAAATCTAGTTCTGACTCAAGGCACAAATGACCATCAGATTATCTACTTCAGACACATTATGTGAAGACCCAATTCTCTGAAGAAGATCTCAGTACTGGAGAAAGTAGGGGGAAATAATTGAAAGACAAGAAGGAGATTGTCATGGAGAAATCTTACCTATCCTATGTAATGGCTAAAAGTTAACAACAATGAGATCAGAAGTGGTATTCAGCAGGTTCTGACCAGTTCTGGAGAATCGGTAGTGGAAATTTTGAGTAGTTCAGAAAACTGGCAAATACCACTTCTGACTGGAGATTTTACAGTATCCTTCCCCTGCCACGCCCACCAAGCCATGTCCACAGAACCAGTAGTAAAAAAATTTGAATCCCACCACTGAATACCACCTCTGGATGGCCTCATGCATCTGGCCCTGCCCTCACCCTTTCCTACTCTAAATTGTCTTGGGTTTTTTAGCTCAGCTGATTCATGCAGCAGAGTGGATTGCTGCACCTCAGCTGAGCTAAAAAAAAAAAAAAAAAGCTCACCTCAGCAGCGCTGACACCAAGGACAATCTTTGAGTGCTGCACTGTGCCTGTGCAAGGTGCACTCTCATAGAGCCAATCACACCACCAGCTAGCTCTGCCTAACCTGCCCTCCCGCCCTATATATCTTGCCTTTGCCATGCAGCCCAGCTAATCTCCATGCCTCGCCTCGCCTGCTCATCAAAGGTAAGCAATGCATGCTGCCCGCTTGCCGTTTGCCTCAGCCAGGTCGGGGAACATGCCATTACCCAGCTCCAGTCTTGCCCCGGGCCGCCGCCCACATGCCACTACCTTCCTCTGGCCTCAAATTATGGCCCTACAGGTCAAAGCAATTCATTCAGCCTGCGGCCTACCATGAGTTGCGGGGGGGGGGGCATGAGGGCTGAAGCAGTTTGGGTCCCAGATGATTCTTCTTACCTTTAAGAAGATCCATCCAGAAAGCACTGCAGCAGAGCACTTGCAGCTGCTTCTTGCAGATGCTTCTTCTGTCCCTTGCCACTGAGGCTTTGCTCGTGGAGATGCTCCATGTGTTTTCCAGGTCAGTAGTTGCTTCTCTCCACTGCTGCTCTTGCTGTTCTTGCTGGGACAGCAGGCTGAAATTTAGCAGCTGTGAGCTGCCACTTTGGGTCCTCTAAGTCCCATCCAGAAAACACTGAGAAACAGCATTCAACACAGCTGCTGCTTCTCTGTGCCGCAGGCCCACAGCTCTTTCCAGATGGGACTTAGAGAATCCAAAGTGGTGACTCACAGCTGCTAAATTGCAGTCTGCTCTCCCAGCAGTGGGGAAAAGCAGCTGCTGCCTCGGAGAACAAAGATTGAGGGGAGCAGGTGGTCTTGAAAGTCTGCTCAGTCTGTTTTGCCTCACCATGTGGCAGAAGCCGCACATGTGCACAATCCGTGCACGCATGCATGTGCAAAAGCCGTGTGCACACACATGCTCATGCACTCACATTTTTGGTGAACTGGTGGTGGGATTATTTTAATCCTACCACTCAGGGGTGGGATCCGACAGGGTTAACTACCAGTTCAGTGATTTACAATGTGCTTCCTTGCATGCTCCGCACACATGTAAATCTTCATCAGATTGCTGCCTGGACAGCTGAGCAGCACTGCGTGCAGGGAAGCAGCATTTGAAAAAGCACTTTTTTCCTGCTTTTTCAACCTCAGCTGTGCCTGGCACGGCAGCTGAGGTTGAAAAAGCAGGAAATAAAGGTCAGGCAAGAGCCCGGGTGGGCAGGTGGGCCAGAACAGCAGCAAACATAGAACTGGTTCTATGTCTGCTGCTCTTCAGAGCTATCAGTTCTACAGAGCAGGACAGAACTGGTAGAATCCCACCCTTGCTACCACTGCCAAGATCACTCTCACAGTTACTGTACTTATACCTTTGGTTTTTCTTCCCTAAATGTAAAGTTTTGCTTTTCTCCACATTAAAAATCATTTTGTTCAATAGGGCCCCGTTGATCAAGTTTGTCAAGATCTTTTTGAATCCTGAGTTTGTCTTCTGGGCTGTTGGCTATTCCTACCAGTTTTGTGTCATCTGCAAATTTGAGGAGTTCCCCTTCTATTCCCTCATCTAAATTATTGAAAGATTACTGGGCCTAAGAGGAAGCCTTGTTGTACCCCACTGCTCTCTATGTGGATGTGTACCATTAAGGACTACTCATTGAGTATGCTTTGTCAGCCAACTGCAAATCCATCTGGTGATGATGTTATCTATTCCAGCTAGCTTTCTAGCTAACCAAGAAATAGATTGTGGTCTACTTTGTCAAATGCTTTACAGAAATCTAATTGTATATGTCCACAGTATTGCAGGTCTACTAATTCAATGACTTTATCAAAGAATGAAATAAGATTGGTTTGGCATGATCTGTTTTTAACAAACCTATGTTAGGTACTAGTTATTTGCTTCTAGTTGCTCGCAGATCTGTTTTTTGATTATCTTTTCCAGGATCCTTCCAGGTATTGATGTTAGACTGATTGATCTGTAGTTTCCTGGGTCTGGTTTTTCTTCTTCTTCTTGAAGATGGGAATATCATCAGCCCTTTTCCAATCCCAGATACTTCCCCTGTGCTCTAGGATTTTTTAAAGATTTGGTACAATGGTTCTGAGATAGCATCTGCCAGCTCCTTCAGAACCATGTGATGTAATCAGTCAGGTCCCAGTGATTTATATTCATCAATGTCAGATAGGTGTTATCTTACCGTTTTCTTCCTTATTTTAATTTTAATTTTTGTTTGTTTTTTATAGTAGCTTTTTTTGGACACTGGGTTATATTTTTTTTCTGTGAAAACTGATGCAAATAATGAGTTAAGAAGTTCTGCTTTTTCCCTAATACCTATTACCTCCTTGCCATCTTCTCTCTTGAGTGGACCTACTATTTCCTTTACTTTTTTCTTGTTATCAACATGTTGAAATAAACTTTTTTTAATTATTTTTGACTTTTGTAGCAAGCCTTAGTTCATTCTGAGCCCTTACTTTCTTGACTTCATCTTTGCATGTTCTGACTATCTGCTGATAATCAGCCTAAGTGTCACTCTTTCTATTTTATGTACTTGTCCTTTTTGTCTTTTAGATCATTGTGCAGCCATGATTATTTTTTCTTGAATTTCTTGTTTTTCTTTTTCAATATTGTGCTGGACTGGGCATTTATGATTGCATTTTTTCAGTTTCCCATGCTTCTTGAGTTGTTTTCCCCGTTAAGATTTTCATTCATAGAATCTTTCCTAGGGTCTCTCTTAGTTTGTTAAAATCTGCTTTTTTAAAGTTTAGGGCACTGGTTAGATTATTTTATATTGCTTATGTTTGCATTATATGGAACTTGAGTATGATGTGGTCACTTTCACCCAAAGTTCCGGCAACTTCAACTCCGTCTATCACTTCTTCTCTATGAATAAGAATTAGGCCTAGTATAGCAATAGCACAGACTTATATACTGCTTCAGTGCTTTACAGCCCTCTCTAAGCAGTTTCAGAGTCAGCATATTGCCCCCAACAATTGCTCCCTCATTTTACTGACTTCGGAAGGATGGAAGATTGAATCAACTTTGAGCCAGTGCGAGTCAATATACTTTGACAATATACTTTTTTACACAATGCTAACAATAATAATACAATTAAATATACCTAATCTCCCTCTTCCAATTTTATTATACACATTATAATTATAATAGATTCTTTTATATATCAATATATATAAAAAATTTCCCAATTTGTGCTTATTATTGTTATTTTTTTAACCATTTGTTAAGGTTCTTCTATATTCACATCTATGTCTGTAAACAATACCATTGTCTCTTTATAATCCTTTATCACTTTCTCCATAAATATATTTAAACATCAATATATCAATAACATCAATAACATTCATACAGTGTATTTGTTGTCCCCGCTGCATCACTAATATTTTAATATTTTAAATATTATTCAATATTCCACCATAATTCCGATATCTCAATTTT